AAAATAAAAATAAAAATAAAAATAAAAAATTTTAAAAACTGATCTTTCATGTCAGAATCCTACTTGTCTGTCAGTGATATATCTTAGTTTTAAGGGTTCGTAGTATGCACATGTTATTTTTCTACTTTCTTTCTACCTGAGGAGTTAGAAATCTTGACCTGATTTCTAAAAAAAAGGGAGACTGGACTTTTTCAACAGTTTAAAGTAACCAGTAAGGACGACAAATGCAATAACAGCACAGCTAAACCAAGCAAATTTGTAAGAACTAGGCTGTCTTTCACGATGTGACATTCAGAGATGACCTCCACACCCAGAAAACACACACAAAAAAGGACACAAACACGAAACAGAACCCAGGTGGAACAAACACACACATCAAGTTCCTCAAACAATTCAAAACAGCTCCATTGTACACGAATGTGCACACACACACACACACACACCCCACAGGCAGCATTTTATACTTTAAAATAATAATTGTGCATGTGTAAAAAAAGATCATTGACATACTTTGTTACTGAGTGTGGGTTAAAACTAAACTCCACACTTACACCTGCTCCTGTCTTCTCATATCAGTGCAAATGAATACCTACACTCACCCCTTCTGAAGAGCCACAGCGAAGCAGACTGTACTCCTAGCTCTCTCACCTACCTGCCTATTTGGTTTCTGAATCCTTAATTCTCAAACACACAAAACTTATTTGTTCCATGTCCCAGTCACCCAGGTCTACTAACTGGGACTATAAGCTATCCATACCCATCGGAAAATAACAAATAAAGGAAGCCTCATTTCCAAATTTGGTCATGATCCATACTAAGAGTGATTTTAAGCCAATGTTTGTATACTTCTAACATCAAAAGGGCCCATTATTTGCATATCAAGCTATTCCTCACATCTCATTTCCCCACTCCTCACACAGATCTGAGCTGTAGCTCTGGCTGCTGCCACTTTCAGGTACTCTGCTCTGGAAAGAGTTGGAAGACAAGCAAGTACTCAGCTAAATTAATCTCATCCCCCTCACCCATCTCCTAAAATGACCCAAATGTTACAGGACTAGATAATCCTCAGTCCTATGAAAACTGGGCA